CTCTGATGATGCTGCGGTGTGGGCTGTGGAACGCGTTGGCACTAAACTGTTTACCATCTGCTGCATTTGGTATCCAGAACAATGAATCATTCAAACAACCATGTAAAATGCTAGCCATTAAAGCTGAGAATGAGATGTCCTACTGTTGTGGTAATTCAGCAATAAATGGTGACAGCAGAATGATCATTTTACTTAATAAAGGGAAAAAGTCCCCGCTGCCAAATCTAAATGCCCACGTTCGTCTGACTCCTGTGACCTGTCGTTCCAAGTTTGCTCTGGCTCATCGTCGCATCTGAGCCAAGGTATTGAAATCGGGCGCTTGCAGCCCCTTGGGGCCAATTGGTCACTGGTGAAATGAATCGACCATTTGTCAGTCCCGCGATGTAATCCCATTCCGGACCAACTCGAGCTGTACGCTAGAGAATAGTGAATATTGGCTTGTACTTTCCATTTGGTTAGATCTTGGCAAGTGGTTTTGGTTACTGTCCTAGTTTGCCATGTGTCCTGGGGAGAACGTCCGTTTGCCATTCCCCCGATCGAATGCGATTTTAAGTGACGGATCTGTGAGGCTTCGCCAGCTCAGAGTTTTCCTCGGTGAGTTCCGGTACAGGCACCTCTTCTGCAACAGTTTCTCCTCCGCCCCAAGAAGCTGCGCCTCATTTCGTGAAGGGCTGATATTTAGGGTATGTTATTATTGACAAGTCGCTGATAATGCTAAATGTGATACATCGTTTTTTACAAGGAAGATGTAGTTTCTTTTGAGATTTCACAAGTTGCCGAATAACACATGAACACGACTGACTTTAAAGACGAACGGAACTTGGTCAAAACTTCAGTGAGGCAAGTATCACTTCGAAAACTTGAACTGATCATCAATCACCAACGAATCGTGCCCTCTATTGATCGGAGTATCGAGTCTTCTCCCTATCAACGCAGATTTCCAGGTTCCAGATATAACCTTCATATAATCGTGATGGGCTATCAGGCAAGCGACGATACTCCGAGGGATAGCAACCAACTGCCATTGCCGACTGTCTCCCGTTGGTGGGCCGAGTGAATTACTAGGTCAGTTCACCGTAGCTTCTCCTGTTTTCTTTCGACGACAACGTCCTTCACTCCTGTTCACCATCTGATCACCTTGTTGGAGATGCGGTCCTGACGTTAGATTCCAAGCATTGTTCTTTCCATGGCTCTCTCAGTGACAGAGAGCTGGCGGAGTTCGGCTATATTCAGTTACAACGTTTCACAGTCCTGCAACATTGCCGACAGGACGACAGCACTGAGCAGTTAAGCATGGGACTTCATTCTTCATGTGCTCAATATGGCGTTTCATTATCGGTTGCGCAAATCGACCATATTTAGAGATATGAAAAAAAAATTGGGAATCTGACATCGCGACAGTATTCCCAACTCCCTGATTAGGCAACGGGCGGAAGTGAAGGACGATGTCGTCGAAGGCAGAAATGAGAAGCTACAGTAAGCTGGACACATAGCTAGACTCATCGATGGGAGATTGTCGATGTGATTGCCGAGTGAAACCCGCGAGGGCGGAAAATGCCCTTATGTCGCCCATCACGGCGAGAGGAAGATTATATCAACAGTTCGGACGGCGGCACTTGGTGGGAGAAAGCTCATAGC